GGGGGGGGGGGGGGGGTTGTTGAACAAGTGAATCCGGGCTCCTAATAATATTGCCTTGACGAAGTTGATCAAGATATGTAAACATTATTTCTGGTAAGTGAAGTTGATCAAGATTTTCAATTATGAATTATTCATAAGCAAATAGCAACTTATTGGCAACTCATTTCATTTGCTGAGAGAAGGGAAGGAAACAAATAATTTTTCAGATGGTACATACTAAAAGCATTTTTTTAGGCAAAAGAATAAGACTTGAGTGAAGAACTTACAGCCTCTTTGGCTTGAAGTTTTTCCGCCCAGCCATTCAAAACATATGGATCATTGACAGCTACGCATATCACCGAATCAATCCCTTTGGCCTTGAACTTATCAATGTTATTCTTGTAACTTGGTACATGCTGGGCTGAACAAACTCCTGTGTATGCACCCTGAATGATAGTAGAGCGAGCCTCATGAAACCATATTAAAAAAAGAAACAGAAGTGAAAACAATCGATGACAAAACCTCCTCAACCCATAATTTGCTCAGCAGAGAGGGTTAGTTCTTTTTTATGCAGCAATGTCACCACAGTCATCAAAATACCAACCACCCATCAGGTATCACCAAGTTTTCACCACACAATCGGATCCAGTCACCAAAAACATCAACTCTAAATTTAATGATGATTATAACTTCTGTAATTATCAGAAAACTTGATCTTTTTAAAAAATGTATGCACCATAAGGACTTTTTTCCAGTGAAAGACCCTAGTCACCCTACCTCCCAATTACCAGTTCCAACACACATAAGAACAAAACTAATTATATACGGTATAACTCATAAGAACAAAACATTGTACACGAATCGATAGTTTAAAAAGAAACTTACGGGAAGCCCAAAGATGATGACTTTTTTTTCCTGAAAATCAAGAATTAAACAAAACAATAAAATAAAAATCGACAACAATACAAAACATTAGTACAGAAACACGGATTAATGAAAGGAAATGGAACCTTGAAAATGTCCTTGAGGGGGGTAGTGGAGAACTTAGAGGAGACGCCATCCTCCCAGCTCCGAGCTTTCTGGAGAGAAACATCCGGTGCGGCTGAGACCAGATCGGTCCCCACTGCAAGCGATGCGTAAGCCCTCGATGCTCTCAGACTTCCGGCGATCGACTTCATCATCGCCGTCCGTTTCAACATTGCCGAAGCCATAGCTCTACACTGTTAGTCACGGAACTGACAGCTCTGTTCTCTTACCGACTCTGCAAAGGAAAATGTTCTATTAAATTGGGCCTATCAAATGGGCTGACAAAGCCCATCAGTCTTCTCGTCTATTTGCTGCTTCTTTCATTTACCAAAACTTGCCCCCCAAAAAATAAATAATAAATTAATGAATAAAAATCAGCAAGAGAACTAGTCGTGCCCCATACAAAAAACACATTTGTTTAAAAGTTAAAATTTAAATAAGTTACTATGATTAAAATTTAAAAAGTTAAATTATAATATAAACCATCAAATTTAAACGATTTGAACCATTGTATTTTTTTACCTAAGGGCTTAAACAGCTCTACCAGACGCTCTGTTTTATTATTATAGATTATAGATAGTATGAATTCCTTATGATAACTCTCTTCTAGCCTTCTTTTTGTAAAATCTATACAAAAACTCAGTGCACATGTGAAGGGATCAACCCTTATCCCAACATCAAATTCCGAACCCACAAAAGAGTAGTACTATGCATGTCCTAAATTCCAGGAAATTTCAAATTGTTACCTTGGACAGGAGAATTGTCCAAACCATGTACCTTTTAGAATCGTGGCTAGACCTTGAGGTAGTAATCCATGGTAAGAGAAAACTACCCAGATGGTTTATCGTTCTTACTTTATGCAAACAATAAAAGGGAAATCAGAGAGATTTAGCTTCCATTGTGCAAAATATTTTACAGCAACTAGAATATTTTACAGCAACTAGAAGCTCTGTTGGCAAATCAAGCTTAGACGGGTGCTCTCTAACGAACTCTCTAATTCATTAAAGTCGGTCTATTTTCCTGTGTCTTCCTCTTGGAAGGTTGAAACACTCTCTTGTCCAGTTCGTGGGGGATGGAGATGCTTTGACGTGTGCAGAAACTCTAGATAGAAGTAGACAAGAGTTGTGTCTGGATGACTGCAATTGCATGACAAGCAGCATAAACTTCCATGCCCTACATTAAAACAGTATAAAGATAATTAGGTCATTACCTGCATAACAAACTCCTTGCTACTTAAAGTACTGGCTCCCATGCCTGGTAAACAGTCTATCATGTTTATAGACTACTACAAGAGCATTTTTGGCTATATACCAATGTGAACACGAAAAGTTATGTCATGAAGCTACAGTGTTAGCATGAATCTGAACTTTTCTTTGCAACACTCTAACAGGGAGGTAGGTTTGTATTCTTCTATTAAACCACGTTCAACACCATAAGAACCTAAATATACATCTCCAGGGACGCACTAAATATGGAGACCTTGCAGCCATTACCAGTAAATTAAATTCTACTAACATGCAACATATGGAGGAGAACTTGCAGTGATTACCGGGAAACTAAATTCTACAAACTTCAATCACGCTATGCAAGAAAGAAAATATTTAGCATGCTTATACCTTGTCGTTGGAAGAATTTGACATGACATAAAGAAGCATCAGTATTAATTATCGGGGGTACTATGAAACAATTTTGGCCTCTAAAACAAAGAATTTCCTCATTAATTTAGTGAAGTGCGTGTACAACAGATTTGATTCTAGCACAAGATTTACGAAAGTAAAAGGACCATATGCTACTATGTAAGAAACCTATCAATAAACAAAGACATACACAAGATACTGTTGTTCTTTTAAAACACTCTTCAATCCCTGCAGAGTGACAGCATATGTAAGAAGATATCAAGAAGGGTTTACAAAATACTTACTATTTCTTTTGTGCATGCCACTTTTCAATGCTTCCATACCAGTTCCATTGGAAACACAGACCTGCAACACGTAATATACCAATAGCAACTACCTCAATGAATGCCATTAGGAATGATCTTTGAGGTGAAAGGCCAGCAGTTGCTATGGCCAGTAGAGAACCCTCGAGGTTGCATGGGACCATAAAACTAGCAGATTTGATTCCATTCAAAGCTTTCTTGGCTACTTCATCAGCTTTCATTGCGCCAGATGCAGCAGCTATGATACTGGTGAGCTGTGGTCTTCTCTTGTTCTCTGGGATATAAGTATTGCACGGATCATTAAACAAAGAATAAAGGAGAGTAGAAAATAAATAGTCTGACCCAAAAAAACAAGCATAGTTCCTATGAAATTGCAATGTTCTTAGAAATGGTGGATATGCTCCAAACTCCAAAGTGTGCCTTAGGTTAGAAGTAGGGCAAAGGAGTCCCCAACAGGTGTGTAGGTAAAAGATATTAGACATATGGAAGGAAGCTTTAAGGATATTAGATGTATATCTAACTGAGGACTAAGGAAGGGTGAAAGCTTGCAATACATCAAGTCTCTTAGACAACAAGCAGTAAAATTGATGAAAAGGAAAATAACAAAAATGAAAACAAAATATCCCAGTCAACTGAATGGTTTAAAATATGCAAATTCGCACATAGAAAAAACCAAAGCGAGTTCATAAGTTAACTTGTACCATCTTGTTATTTGTCCCTAAACAAAAATTTCATAAATTTATCCAAACTAGGTCATAATTTAACTTTTTTGGGAAAAAAAGAGCGGCCTAGTGCACGAGACTCCCACCACTATAAGGTCTTGAGATGTCAGATGGACACAGCCTTAAGCCCAATATGTGGAGAAGCTGTTTTTAGTAAGCATCACAATTCAGCTTTTACCGGCTTGTTCTTTCTTGCTAAACAAACACGTCATAAATTAATCAAAACTTGTTCCTAAATTAATTGTTAATGTCTTGTTCTTTGTTCCTTCTCACTAAATAACATCCATGTACTCCCCCCCCCCCCTTTTTTCTGCTGAAATAAAAGAAGCTTAAGTCATAAAAAACTAAAAAGCCAATCAACAAAATCAAAATTCTTCATTTCTTTAAAGTCCGTTCTCTCTCTCTCTCCAACCCTCACAAAAATAAATAAATTCAAGTAGCTATAATTTTTTGAAAGAACATGGATTATAAGTAAATCAGAATCCTGAAGAACACATTAGGCCTCTACTAAACCCTTTGAAGGAGCTCCAAAATAAATACAACTACAGCCTTAAGGATCACTCTCAATGTCTCATCTTTTGAGAGAATTACCTATATGATACTGGCAAGTTAATGTACCCAAAAAACAGAAGCATGCCACACTTGACCTAAAACTTCTGTCTTTATTCTATCTCCAGCTCCAAACCCGAAGAAATCATACGCCTTAGGCACAAAAGTCCAAAGATCCCATTCCAACCGCAGAGTAAATACTGATGATCCATCTATTTAGTTAACTCCCTGGACAGTATGCAATATTTAAAACTCACCAATCTCCTTAACACATTCAGCCACACTCAAAACAAAAAGCCACATCTAGCACCACTAGTGCCAGAACCTTATTTGTCTATCAAATAATAAGATTTTAGGCAGTCCAAAAAAGGGAGAAATCCAAAAAGCTTGCAGGCATCATCAGGAAAAGCTTTAAAATACCAATAGGCAATGAGGAACCATTCAGAGTTCTACAAATTAATATTTCAAACAAGTAAATACATTCAAACTCACCACCTTTGTGGCTATCATAGAAAAAATCTGAGTAAATTGCTCCATGACGGTGTCTTCTCCACAACACACATCCTTCTAAGCCTCTAGCCATTACTAATTGCAACACTGAACTTTAATCACTTCCTGCACTGATCCACTCACCACTACCACACTTTATCCCCAAAGATGGTTCTTTTCCAACCAAATCAGTACAACCATTCAGCTAAAAGGCAACAATACATTAAAAGTCTGAAACTAACAGTCTAATGTTGAACCCACTAGTTTTAAGCAGAAAATTTTCCTCTTCAGAAGGTGATAGTCAAATTTGTCTCTTATCCCCTTAGGCGTAAAACTATTGGAAGACTACCCAATTTCCTTGAAACGGAGGTTGGACTCTCTCAACGAGAAGTAAGAAAGTTGTCCAATTTACTCCTCTAGAAAGATGAGTTCTCTTCCAATCACAAGCGAGGGCAGTATAGAATGGCCAAAAATATATATTTTAAACAGATTATACAGTCCGCTCTAAGGCAAGATGAAAATCAGAGTCCAAACCTTCTGCCAAGCCAGGGGTTTCAGTATCTGGGGGAAATATAAGCGAGACATGAATGTTGTCAGCAATAACCTCCTGTTGCAATGCTTCCGCCATTCCCCTCAGCCCAAACTTACTAGCTGAATAAGCAGTGTAACCATAAATTCCCACCTAAAANCTAAAAAGCCAATCAACAAAATCAAAATTCTTCATTTCTTTAAAGTCCGTTCTCTCTCTCTCTCCAACCCTCACAAAAATAAATAAATTCAAGTAGCTATAATTTTTTGAAAGAACATGGATTATAAGTAAATCAGAATCCTGAAGAACACATTAGGCCTCTACTAAACCCTTTGAAGGAGCTCCAAAATAAATACAACTACAGCCTTAAGGATCACTCTCAATGTCTCATCTTTTGAGAGAATTACCTATATGATACTGGCAAGTTAATGTACCCAAAAAACAGAAGCATGCCACACTTGACCTAAAACTTCTGTCTTTATTCTATCTCCAGCTCCAAACCCGAAGAAATCATACGCCTTAGGCACAAAAGTCCAAAGATCCCATTCCAACCGCAGAGTAAATACTGATGATCCATCTATTTAGTTAACTCCCTGGACAGTATGCAATATTTAAAACTCACCAATCTCCTTAACACATTCAGCCACACTCAAAACAAAAAGCCACATCTAGCACCACTAGTGCCAGAACCTTATTTGTCTATCAAATAATAAGATTTTAGGCAGTCCAAAAAAGGGAGAAATCCAAAAAGCTTGCAGGCATCATCAGGAAAAGCTTTAAAATACCAATAGGCAATGAGGAACCATTCAGAGTTCTACAAATTAATATTTCAAACAAGTAAATACATTCAAACTCACCACCTTTGTGGCTATCATAGAAAAAATCTGAGTAAATTGCTCCATGACGGTGTCTTCTCCACAACACACATCCTTCTAAGCCTCTAGCCATTACTAATTGCAACACTGAACTTTAATCACTTCCTGCACTGATCCACTCACCACTACCACACTTTATCCCCAAAGATGGTTCTTTTCCAACCAAATCAGTACAACCATTCAGCTAAAAGGCAACAATACATTAAAAGTCTGAAACTAACAGTCTAATGTTGAACCCACTAGTTTTAAGCAGAAAATTTTCCTCTTCAGAAGGTGATAGTCAAATTTGTCTCTTATCCCCTTAGGCGTAAAACTATTGGAAGACTACCCAATTTCCTTGAAACGGAGGTTGGACTCTCTCAACGAGAAGTAAGAAAGTTGTCCAATTTACTCCTCTAGAAAGATGAGTTCTCTTCCAATCACAAGCGAGGGCAGTATAGAATGGCCAAAAATATATATTTTAAACAGATTATACAGTCCGCTCTAAGGCAAGATGAAAATCAGAGTCCAAACCTTCTGCCAAGCCAGGGGTTTCAGTATCTGGGGGAAATATAAGCGAGACATGAATGTTGTCAGCAATAACCTCCTGTTGCAATGCTTCCGCCATTCCCCTCAGCCCAAACTTACTAGCTGAATAAGCAGTGTAACCATAAATTCCCACCTAAAAAGACAGATAGAAAGTTGAAGCAGCATGTACATGTGACCGTAAAGAACACACACACACAACTAACTACAAGACCGAAATAAAATGATACCTGACCGGCCTGAGACGACATGATAGCGATCGAAGCAGGTGCACGATCCGTCCGATTCTTCATTCCAGGCAACGCCGCCTTGATCAGATGAAAAGTCCCCATCAAATTCACATCCAACATGAACTTAACTTCCTCCAACTCCTGTCCCTCCAATTCCCTCGGTACAAACACTCCCTGATTGCACACCAACACATCGATCGGTCCAGCCTCCTCAATAGATTTCTTGAGAGAATCGAAGTCTCTCACATCGGCGCTGAAAACGGCGACATCACGACCGGTGGACAACTTGATCGACTGCTTCGCTTCATTCAGTTTCTCCATGTTCCGCGCGAGGATTGAGACTTTTGCGCCTTCAAGTGCGGCCTCGTGGGCCAAAGCAAGGCCGATGCCGCTGGATCCGCCGGTGATGAACACGTGGCGGTTCTTGATTTGTATCTTGACCGGTCGGGGTTTGACGATGAAGTAGAGGAAGAGGAGAAGAGAGAGAGGGCAGAGAAGAATAAGAGAGAGAAAGGCCAGGTTTTGGTCAGCCATTGTTGAGAGCTTCGACTGACTAGTGACTCTCTCTCACTCTCTGAAACAGGTTTGTTTTGATTCGTAATGCGACTGTGCTTACAAGAAAGAACGACGTCGTCTCAGGTACTGAACTGGGCTAGATATATGGGCTTCTAGGATTGAGTTTTTAAGGGTTCAAGCCAGTACCAATATTATCATAATTGGACCGGTCATTAATCCGGCAAAGGGACCGTGTTAAAGATTCGCTGGTTGGCCCAACCCAATCATATAATAAAAAAATATATATAATAATTATAAAGTATAATAATTTAATTAAAAAATATAAAATAGATCTAAAATGCATTGAATATGACTAATAGTTCCTCCCTAGCTGCGGTCTTCTTTTGACTTTTCTGCTCAGGGTTCTCTACCTAGGGCTTTAACGGAGTTGCTGGTGCAAGATCGGATGAAGCTGCCAGTTGCTAGGAGGAGACTTCAAATTTGTTATGATGTATAGATTGTATTTTGAAGGATTAAAGCCTGAGTGTCGCCTGAGTGCTGCCTCGTTGTCGCTGGTGAGACGAAGGGTAGCGCTGTGTCGCTGGTAAGCCGCCTGAGCACTGATCGCTGTCGTTGGTGAGCCGCCTGATACTGAACACTGATGGACTGGTTCCCTTGGTCGCCTGAGCACTGATCGGTGCCTCCCTGGTCTGCCTCACTCCTCGTTGAGGTCTGCCTTATGCGATTAAGGGCAAAATCAAAATGCCCAAATTAAAAATAGCAGGTTCAAATTTATTTATTTTTTTTAATGGATATCAAACCGGTCAGGTTTTTAAAAACAGTCCGGTTCACGGTTTTCTTCAAAAACCGGCCGATTTAACGGTTTTTATCCGATTCTTTTTTATGCTGTTTAACTATTCAACCGGACCGGTTGGAGTTTCGGGTCACGGTTGAACCGGTTCGAACACCTAAGCCACCTGTGGTTGTTTGTTATATAAAAAAAACAAGGGCGTGACAGGGGAGAGTCAAACTTAGGTTGTTAGAGAAAGTTTAATTTAAGTATTTATATTTTAACACGTTTTTTCATGTTCAGGCTAAATTTTGGGCTTAACACGTAAATTTTTTCAGCCATATTCGAATACATGATCTGTTATTTTGATACTATATTGAACAACCATCTACTCCAAAACTTTAATGGAATCGACGCGAGGAATTTTCCAACCTTAACAACAATCATATAATTCAATCACAGGGAGAAGCACAAACCTCAGGAAAAACCTCTCTAAAGCTATTTCTAGTAGTTTTTCTTTGTGCAAGATCACCATACAAATCAGTGAATCTTTGCCTCAACTCATTGGCAAAGATATTATTACAATTTACTGAGTTCTTACTTCTTATATCTATCATCTTTTATGATTAAAAGAATTATGAGATGGATTGCTATTTTGAGGTACATTATTAGGAAGCCCTCTTGAGTTATCAATGTGTCTCTGGACATTGATGTTGTTGGATGAAGTGGATCTTCCTTGTCTGTTCTTCCTTCTTGGGTTAGACGAACGAGGGATAAAAACCCCAGTTCCTTTGCCTTCTCTTCTGCTTATTTGATCATACAAAAATGGTGGTTGTCTTATTGGATGCAGTGCTTGAGAGAAGGCCTAAAACATTCATGAAAGGGCAAAATTCATCATATTTGAGTAGCAATTGTTTAGTATCCAACAAACTGAAACAACATAGATTAAAGGAGAGAGAGAGGGAGAGAAAACTTTGACTTAATGCGAAAAAGCAAGAAGCAACTGCAGGAAACAAAGATTAAAAGAGCGGTATAATGAACAGGAAGATTATTAAGATGTACGGAGTCTTTTTTTTTTTAAAAAAGAGCGGGAGCAAAGAGAGTATTTTGAGACCATCCCAATAAGTTTTAAGAAACTACTGTTTCGGGAACGAATTTAACTAGGCTAGTATAACGGTCAACTATCGAATCTCAATGTGAATTTCTACACTTGAATCTCCAACCTTTGGGTGAGAAGATTCGCCCGGTACCCCACTCGATGGTAGATATTAACCGTCTTACTTATAAGAAAGAAAATTATTTTTATGACACAAACCCTTGACGTTTATATTGCAATAGAATAATCTTACCTTTGTGGCTAGGCCGACTAATAATAGATCGATTCTTATGTATAAAAAACTGTAAAAGAGAAGGTGATGGAGAACCTGGAGAGTAACACGAGGAAAATGAGCCACTGGATCTTCTTCGTCATCCATGATTAGTTGAGAAATTTGCTTGCTTAAGTCTGCAAAAAACACATCATCGTCTACTTCACCAGCTACTTCCATTTATCTATCTATCTTCTGTCCTCAAACTGGTATGAAGAGCTTGTTACTGACTGGTATAACAAAGAAAAACAAGAGAACTTCAGTTTTTCTCTTTCTAAATCTAGCTCTTCTTCTCAAAGAGAATAAGATATGTAAAAGGGTTTAAATAAGGGAATGTCTGGGATGGGTTGAATTTATGGGTTGGACATGTGGGGTGGTACGATCATGAGATTCAGTTGGCCACTCTGTCCAAAGTCCCTCAGGGACCCCACAAAGATCATGATTCATGAAGTATGTTAATGATATTATCCAGATGGAAAAAGAGATGAGGACCAGATACAGCAACAACCCACAAACCCAGAATCTCATCCAAGATAGACTTGATCTTTGGCATATACTTCGTGGTATATGTGTTCTCTCTCTCTCTCTCTCTCTCTCTCTCTCTCTCTCTCAATAGAATAAGTTGTGGTTTACACTTTACAGTTCACCGTACACTTACACATGGGTTCCACACACATGCATGTGTAATTGCCAAATTTAGGTTGGTCAGAAGTTGATCCTAACAAGGGTTTCTTTGAATTTTCCAGTTCTGTTTTTGATTAAATCGTAAAGGATCTTAATCAAGATCTGCATCAATTAATTTAGATACTCTTGACCATTAAACCAAAAAAATCTCCCATACTCGATGCTAGGATTAGGTCTTCTCGGGGTCCAATTGGCCGAAAAAAGAAATTATTTTTTCAGTATTGTACTGTTTTTACCTTAAAAATGAGAATAAGAAAATGTGTAAAGTTGTTTTATATTGAATCAAANTTTTTTTTTTTAAAAAAGAGCGGGAGCAAAGAGAGTATTTTGAGACCATCCCAATAAGTTTTAAGAAACTACTGTTTCGGGAACGAATTTAACTAGGCTAGTATAACGGTCAACTATCGAATCTCAATGTGAATTTCTACACTTGAATCTCCAACCTTTGGGTGAGAAGATTCGCCCGGTACCCCACTCGATGGTAGATATTAACCGTCTTACTTATAAGAAAGAAAATTATTTTTATGACACAAACCCTTGACGTTTATATTGCAATAGAATAATCTTACCTTTGTGGCTAGGCCGACTAATAATAGATCGATTCTTATGTATAAAAAACTGTAAAAGAGAAGGTGATGGAGAACCTGGAGAGTAACACGAGGAAAATGAGCCACTGGATCTTCTTCGTCATCCATGATTAGTTGAGAAATTTGCTTGCTTAAGTCTGCAAAAAACACATCATCGTCTACTTCACCAGCTACTTCCATTTATCTATCTATCTTCTGTCCTCAAACTGGTATGAAGAGCTTGTTACTGACTGGTATAACAAAGAAAAACAAGAGAACTTCAGTTTTTCTCTTTCTAAATCTAGCTCTTCTTCTCAAAGAGAATAAGATATGTAAAAGGGTTTAAATAAGGGAATGTCTGGGATGGGTTGAATTTATGGGTTGGACATGTGGGGTGGTACGATCATGAGATTCAGTTGGCCACTCTGTCCAAAGTCCCTCAGGGACCCCACAAAGATCATGATTCATGAAGTATGTTAATGATATTATCCAGATGGAAAAAGAGATGAGGACCAGATACAGCAACAACCCACAAACCCAGAATCTCATCCAAGATAGACTTGATCTTTGGCATATACTTCGTGGTATATGTGTTCTCTCTCTCTCTCTCTCTCTCTCTCTCTCTCTCTCTCAATAGAATAAGTTGTGGTTTACACTTTACAGTTCACCGTACACTTACACATGGGTTCCACACACATGCATGTGTAATTGCCAAATTTAGGTTGGTCAGAAGTTGATCCTAACAAGGGTTTCTTTGAATTTTCCAGTTCTGTTTTTGATTAAATCGTAAAGGATCTTAATCAAGATCTGCATCAATTAATTTAGATACTCTTGACCATTAAACCAAAAAAATCTCCCATACTCGATGCTAGGATTAGGTCTTCTCGGGGTCCAATTGGCCGAAAAAAGAAATTATTTTTTCAGTATTGTACTGTTTTTACCTTAAAAATGAGAATAAGAAAATGTGTAAAGTTGTTTTATATTGAATCAAAGGAAGATATTTGATCATAATTTATTTCTTGATATAATACCAAAACAAAGTGATCTATGTTAATATTAGGATATTCATGAAAGATAAATCTTTCATGACCTGATCATAAAGAATTATCAAAATTTGAATTCAAGTCATCTGAATTTAAAATTTGCTTGTACCGAAGTTAAGCATCCAATCTTTTGGGTGACACAAAAAGATGACAAACTATATTTATTTTGGGAAGAGATAAAGAAGTGTCAATCAGAATCTATCCATACCACTTGGCTTGCAGATAGATTGCATCCTTGTTGGAGTAGTGGAGCAGATAATCTTATTATTATAGTAAGATAGGATTTTTCATCTTTGCTTTTTCACGAGGTTGAAGGGTCAGCTACCTTCAACTTAGGGTTTTGGTTTTAGAAAATAAGGGATAGAGGGAGTGACATCCCATCTAATATTTTTTTTAAAATTTTTTTTTGGTGAATCTCTTATGTATGTTTAAGTGAGACCCATTGTTTTTAGAGGGTCGCTCACTAATTAATGGTAGACAATTTTCTTAAAAAAATTAAAGAAAAAAATATGAAAGAGGATCTAAATCCGAGTTGAGATTTTATCTATTATATTTTTAATCAATAATAAATTATCCACAGTATCTACATGATGGGTCTATATTATGAACAGTCAATTTAAATGGGCGCACTATTTATTAGTGTACTTGTCATTTATACACGGTATGTATCTGTGAGTAAAAGTGTGATGGAAAGAATCTAAATTCGAAATACATTAACACATGAGACTTCAAAATGTCCATATACATATAGCTGCATGTCATTTGCTTAAAAGCGTAGTGGATTACGGGTTTGTTTGGATGGATTTTTGAGAAGGATTTGAGTTGGCTTCTCTAAACTCTTTCAAACTCAACTCGTCTTTACAAAGATGTGATTCAACATTGAATTCAATCTATACTCATATTTGGTATGCAATATATACATATATATGACTCACAGATATATCATAATTATTAACTAATATTTGTCTTATAAATGATTATTTTACTTTTGATTAATTCAATTCATACTCATGTTAAGAGGTAGAACTGTCTTTTACATCCTTAATCCGTCTTCTCAAATCCACCCCACCCTAAGGTTTGATAAAACTCATGATCATGAGTTTAATATTTGGTTCAATTGCAGGCGGAGATTGAGAACTCAATATTGAAATTTCAATCTAAACATAGAGTTCAAGGATCTTTTAGACTATTTTTTTCAAATCCATCTTGTCAAGCCATACCCATTTACCAAACAGGCCTATGTATGTCATCATGGGGATCCATATACCATACGGTTTGCTGGCTAGCTAACTGCTAAGAACTAAGGACCCACTTCCATTTGCAGAACATCACGGTGGAGAGAAAGCGAAATTCTTTTTAATACTTTTTTTCTTTAATTTTCTTCTCGGTAGATTATTCATCAGATATAAGTGGATTCCTCGCTCATTAATAGGGTGGAGATAATCATCTCTCTCTCTATGAATTGTTGTATCTTCTGAATGAATGACCCTATGCTTTGCTTAATTGCATCTTTAAAGAAGTTAAAATGAAGATCAAGTAAAAATTACCAAAAAAGACAGTTCCAAAATTCTATTCCAAATACAACTATGTGAGGTTTTGCACATATAATAAAGTCATGTGTGTCATGTGTCTAGGGGGTGTTAATCGACTCGAACTTGACTTGTATTCTAAACAAGCTAAACTTGAACAATTTTTTAAATTTGTTTAAAAAAACAAACCTAAAAAACTCAACTCGTTTATATATAAAACAATCGAACGACTCAGTCTAAAACTCGGCTCAAGTTCTAAACAAGTTGAACTTAAATAATTTTTTAAATTCATTAAAAAAAACAAACTCGAGTTCAAACTAGCAAAGTTAGACTCAATTAGCACCCTACCTTTGTCTAGATAGAAGATGCTCGTGCCCCATCTATGATTGAAAACATCTCAAGTTACAGCATAGAAAAAAGTTCAAATTATTGAAAACACGACGGTCGATTTCGTTTTGCATTGAAAGCAAATATATGATGAACCATGATATTCTGTATCAAGCATACTATCAACCAAGATAAGACTAACCCTTAGAGCAACACTGCAGCTCTTGCTACAGCATCTATCATGCATCAATCCGAATAAACCAATGAATCATCGCCTTTACATGTATTTTCTGCTAAAAATTATCGGGCATGACTTGAAATGAACATTCTCTAATAACATTGATCTCTTGGTAATATATTCACAGCCTCAAATGTTCTACTGAGATATCTTTGGAAAAAAGTAACAAAAATATAAGGCTATCCATTTTTTGCCTCAACAAAACCTGCCTTTGGCTCAAATAATCAAACTAGAAAAGGGAGGGTGGGGGATTCAAGCACCTACTGAAGCAGCTTTGGATCTGGTTGCAACAGTTGCGGTATGAAAAAGTCAAGCCCCGCCAGCAGTGTCCATATCGGTAACTCCATCAATTCCTTTGAAAACAACACGTAATTTTCTTAAACATGATTGCTTCTTATCACCCTTTCCAGCTATGCCAGTCACATGGACAATGTCCTTGGGGATTTTATCCATTAGGTCACATAGTGGCATATCCAGGTTCGAGCGAGTCATCTCTTCCAGTACTGGAGGTCCCTGCATATACAGATTCTTCCCTCTGTGCGTAACACTTGCTCTGGATAGAAGCAACTTAGGGTGATCTTCAAGTAGATCGATAAACTGCTCCAAGACAACAGAAATTACGACTAGTGTTACCCCAAAATGAAGGTCAGGGGCATAACAGGAGACTGCCAGAGGCAGAGAACTATTTATGCCCCTAAAGAGCAGAAACAAATAGAGTAACAAACACTTTAAGTTTCATGTTTCCCATAATGATCGTGTATAGAATCTAACCACTTATCTTGGCAAAATAAAATCATTAGACCACAGAGAAAGAAATTACTACATGATACCATCGTTCAAAGTTTGGATGACTAATAAAAAAATTGCATTGGTAGAACTTTGTAACAGATATTTCCAACAACATCCTTTTCATTTCATTCACAAACCATGTCTTAAAGCATCCTGAGGTTCTATACCATATCAAATGGCAGAGTCATAACCTTATAGGACCCCAGTCAGTTCTGCAATTCATAAGCTTTCACTTTCTCACCCCAAGGTATAACCAAGGTCCATACAGAACACAACCAACCCAAGAGATAACAGATCAGGTCACATCCAGGTCATGATAGATCAGCAGAACTTACCATTTTGGAATGTATAATAGAAATCACTAATGGAGTGTACAACTAGAGACACAAGGCAATTTTGAAAAAAAAAAGATAAAAATAAAGGAAAACACCTTTTTCAAGGTAACTGAAGTGTCCAGCTCAATAAGAATGCCAGGACCACACACAAGACAGTCTTTGTCTTTCACAAACTCAGTCACTTTAGTGTGAAGGCCTTCGACACCATTATATCTACATTGAAACAAGAATTATAATTGACAAAATAAAGTTAACAGAAACAAGATAAAGGATATTAAACAATATATATCCAAGTACCATTAATTCCATTATCCTATTCCTATCCAACTATGTAAGAGGAGAATGGTACTTCTCACTAAATATGATGGAGTGCAGACCAGGAGGAGTAACAAGCTTTTCACCAAAAGCCTTGTATAACCTTTAAGATAAACAGCAAGGGGAGCAAAATTTCAAATGAGATACTGCTTTTCAATTTTGACTAGATGTTGGAAGTTTGTCCAAGCTCACTCCATTATGACAACATTTTAAAGGTCATAACCTCACCTTTTGAAAATTTTGAGTACAGGTCAAAAGAAGGAATTAATAAAGTTTGAGATGAACATTAAGAAAGCAAAACAGACAAACATTATACATTTTAAAAGTGCGAGAGAAAAGAAGAGACACAGTGGGTTCAGGCAGCCCACAGAGGAGCATAAATTCCAACATCTGGCATAATGTCATTCTGAAGATTTGATCTAAGTAGATAACTGTACCAAGTTAAAGAAGGGGGAGGGAGCATGTTGAAACACAACCATCAAAATGCTAGTAGTAATAACGATGACAATAATGATAATATGGGCCAAGTCAAATTAAGAAATTGGCTTTGATGTAATATAGAATCCGTTTAACAGGCTCAAAGTAGTCCAGACGTATTGATAATTAAGAATACAGCTGATGGCTGAAGAAGTCAAAACTCACAGAATCCGTTTAACAGGCTCAAAGTAGTCTGGACGTATTGATAATTAAGAATACAGCTGATAGCTGAAGAAGTCAAAACTCACCAAAATGAGATGAAGAGACTACAGGCATTAGATAGAGGATCTAGGTAACTGTTAACCTGGTATGTTTTGGATGGGTACACTTTTCATCTTATATTAAGCTTCAAAAAATCAATTAGTGGTTGCACTGAAACTCATCAAGTATATGCAATTGAGAGATGATACNAGCTCAATAAGAATGCCAGGACCACACACAAGACAGTCTTTGTCTTTCACAAACTCAGTCACTTTAGTGTGAAGGCCTTCGACACCATTATATCTACATTGAAACAAGAATTATAATTGACAAAATAAAGTTAACAGAAACAAGATAAAGGATATTAAACAATATATATCCAAGTACCATTAATTCCATTATCCTATTCCTATCCAACTATGTAAGAGGAGAATGGTACTTCTCACTAAATATGATGGAGTGCAGACCAGGAGGAGTAACAAGCTTTTCACCAAAAGCCTTGTATAACCTTTAAGATAAACAGCAAGGGGAGCAAAATTTCAAATGAGATACTGCTTTTCAATTTTGACTAGATGTTGGAAGTTTGTCCAAGCTCACTCCATTATGACAACATTTTAAAGGTCATAACCTCACCTTTTGAAAATTTTGAGTACAGGTCAAAAGAAGGAATTAATAAAGTTTGAGATGAACATTAAGAAAGCAAAACAGACAAACATTATACATTTTAAAAGTGCGAGAGAAAAGAAGAGACACAGTGGGTTCAGGCAGCCCACAGAGGAGCATAAATTCCAACATCTGGCATAATGTCATTCTGAAGATTTGATCTAAGTAGATAACTGTACCAAGTTAAAGAAGGGGGAGGGAGCATGTTGAAACACAACCATCAAAATGCTAGTAGTAATAACGATGACAATAATGATAATATGGGCCAAGTCAAATTAAGAAATTGGCTTTGATGTAATATAGAATCCGTTTAACAGGCTCAAAGTAGTCCAGACGTATTGATAATTAAGAATACAGCTGATGGCTGAAGAAGTCAAAACTCACAGAATCCGTTTAACAGGCTCAAAGTAGTCTGGACGTATTGATAATTAAGAATACAGCTGATAGCTGAAGAAGTCAAAACTCACCAAAATGAGATGAAGAGACTACAGGCATTAGATAGAGGATCTAGGTAACTGTTAACCTGGTATGTTTTGGATGGGTACACTTTTCATCTTATATTAAGCTTCAAAAAATCAATTAGTGGTTGCACTGAAACTCATCAAGTATATGCAATTGAGAGATGATACTATCAAATTTACAGGAAGTCATACTAGAGCCTTAATAATTACTTGTCAGCCATGGAATTAGGAATGTCATCATGAAGATTATGTTCATTTACTTCAAAACCTCAAGCCAAACATGTCATCTATCAGAACGAGATTCACAGAGCTAACAACTTGCAAGTGTTGAGGAAGTGGCACTAACGTTAGATAATTTGATAATGTTTTACTGCATGCTGATACAATCTTCAACGTTTCCAAAGCACATGCAGCTGATATAATTGCATTGGTGGATGCTATAGCAGGTATGATATTTTTCACCACCCCCTGCAACCAAAGAAGATAAAAATCTGCTTGTATACTTAAATTCATATATGTTAGTGGCACTATAATGTCCAGTGTGGCTTTTTCACACTGCACAAGGAATACAGGTTAATAGAACAATCCTCTTAGCTCTAATTCTCCACAAATCCAATCATGAACAGGCCATCAGAAGGAAAATGCACCATACTCATGCAGTAAGTCCACAGAGTTCAAAATGACACAGAAAAAGTTTACCTGGGTCAAAGAATATGTGACTCCTAGAATGCCAAAAAGCTCTGCTCTCTTGACAGCCTAAACAATATAGCTAGCGTAAGAAAGGGGGAAAAATATTGATTTAAAAACAAAGGGAAAAAAAGCAATGAAGTAATAAACCTCTGAATAGACCCACTGCATATGTTCAGGATTATCTGGATCAAAACTTTTTCCACTATGAGCCTGCACGTGGAATGCATAATATGATGATAAAGCAAATGGTTCAAAAGCAACACCAAAAGAAAGAGGAGAAAACGATCAAAGGGATTACCTCATCCCATTTGATTAAATGGGCATATTCAATGCAATGAGCAGCAGTTCTTGGGGTTTCCGCAAGAGTACATAAAGGAAACTTGACTTGAGGGGGAAAGAGCCAAATTGTACACTCAAAGCATGGCGTGACCCCTGGCATAATAATCCTAGCATGACCCTTGAAACCTTCAGTTCCACCATCTACCATAGGTTTTATTGTTTCTTCTCGAGGGTTGTCATCAGAGTCATACTCTAATTAACAGTACCAAATGAAACAGAATCCATAAACTTGGCCAAACTATAGCAATGCTAGTTTTGTTGAGGTTGTCAACTATTTTATGATTAATTATTAAATAAATCCTTTCTCAATTATACATGAAACAATCAAATACAATGACAGCAGCCCATGAAATACCAGGTTAAGGGAAAGAGATCTAAACTCACAGCTGGAACCAGGCAAAACTCCAAATTTAAAGAACATTCAAGGTCAGGGACTCAAGATAAAAGTAATAATAATAAGTTGCATAACAAAACACAGTTTAATCAACACGTCCAACCTTAAGCAGAGAACATCAACAATTAACAACTGAAGTCTCATCATAAAAGGAGCATTAAGCAAGAGAACAGCTACTGGGCACACATATATCCAAATTTGAAAGCATTCAACAAGTGAAACAATAAAAGACTTGCAGACTGCAAACCAGAAGAGTGGTAGAAAGGACACACCTAGAAAACTACAAGCCACAGCGTTTATGTAGCTTCGAGCCTCAATGGAATCAAGGCCAAGGACTATAATACTGAAATCATTGTAAAATTCTAGCTCTTTATCCTCAATGCGACAAAAATGTGGCACAATATTCACACCACTAATTCTGTCCATCACTCGCTTTGCAGCCACCTCAGCTTTCGGCTTTCCAACATCTTCAAACCTACAGGAACAATACCATAAGGAAAATTTTGGGGAAAGACACTCACATCACTGATAAAAGATAATTTAACTGGAAAAAATGTATCCTTCGACTGATAATATTTCCCCTAGAAGGAAAATAATCATCAGCACATGAGATGCTGGCATGTATACACACATGTATAATCACCTGGCTACCCTGATACTGGTGATCCCTACTTTTTTCCAGAGAACTAGTCAAACTAAAGCATTAAACTTAAGAGTAAAACTAGCTTTTTTACATGCATATCATTTAAGACGAGAATGAATCTCCTCGAGTCAAGCAAATCTATTCAAGAAAATGTGGTGTTCACTCCAATCATATCTTATTGACATTCTTAAAATAGGGTTTTGATTATTTTGCTCCTTAACTCTATCTTAACCCACAGAGTCTGGTGCATTACTGTGTGTGGTTCATCAAATGCATTGACCAACCCCGTATGGCTTATAGATGTAAACAATCAACTTAGCCTTCGGTCAGTATTGCATATGTCAGAAATTCTATCTCATCTCAAAAGCCCCTATCCACCCCCACACACTTTGAATTTTTCTAGTAAGTACATTCAATGTTGCTTTACTGTTGTGGTATTAATGAATTGATGCGGAACAAAAAATGTCAGGTTTCCAAATTCCAAACTTGTCTGTGGAATTACGCAATTGAAAGGCATGTCTGTACACAGAATTAATTGCAATTGATGCCCCATTTCTTCAATAAAAGCACTTGACCACCACTCTCATCATTCTTAGGCAATAATTTGATTAGACCTCTATTGGATGGACAATCGTTTTCATGGCATCTGATGTAATAGTTCGTGCTCTCATCCCTATAAAAGCATCTCAACAAAAATGAATTAAGTTCCAAGTTCACAGTCTCTGCCCAATCTCATGGACCATAATGCAGCATGGTTTATCTATTGATATTATATGTGACTTTGTTTTTGAACTGAACGTGATACCTAAAATGTACAGCGGGCACATATTGGTTACAATACAATGAGCAATAAAACTGATACAAATCAACTACTGAACGTCTGCCTGTATCAACTGTGAACTTGAATGCGAATATGAATACCCAAACAGACTATGAGAGTAGGAGAAACAGCCAGACCACAGTATCAAATTTGCAACGTTAAATGCTTCTGTGGATTCAGCTATTGACAAGTGGAAGAACCACAAAGAGCAAAATGATGAAGAGTCTAGTTAAATTGTCAGAAGTCACCCCTATATACCACCAATTCAAACCCCTCAGCTAAACAAGACAATCAACAACCAATGCTAAATATAGTCCACCATCTTCTTAGAGCACTAGAAAATGAGCTCAGATAGGCACTATTGAGATAACCCTGCATACTGGGCACATGAGCATGTAAGCAAATGTGCCCAGGCACACACATGTATAGCTCCAGAAATGTAAATACACACACCTGAACAGAAATTGGCGATTGAGATTGGACACTTCAATTCGGTCCATGTCAATGACTTCCAGGTTCCGAAATCCCGATAAAGCCAAGTCCTTTAGTAATTCACACCCCAATCCACCGGCACCCACCACCAAAACCTTCGCATACTCTTTAAGATCATCTCTCAACTACAACACAACCCAATAAAAAATAAAACGATACTAGAAATAGTGAATATACACCAACTGTTTGTAAAAATGTCTGAGAGAGAGAGTTTTTCCAAAACTTACTTCAGGTCCAGGTTCGAAGTTCGGGCCGACGAGATGGCCTGGTCGGAGGAGGAGCTTATCGAGGTCTCTTGATCGGCTGGGTTGCGCAGTGGTGTCCGCCATTGCACGACACAAATTTTTCTCACAGATCGATAACACAATGATTCAGATACTTAGAGGGGACGGTATTGGGGGTGATGGCTTAAATTTTACGCTGGGGGTGTGTTGATGGTCTTATCCTGCGCATTCATGTATTTATTTGGGTAATCAAAATATTACACGATACAATTAATAAATGGGTAAAATATGAGAAAAATTAATTAAAATAAATAAATTATATAGTCCATTTATATATTTATTATATACGATTGATACACGATACAAATCTGATATAACACGACTTATCAGAGATAAATCGATAAACGAATAGAGAATAAATAAAATATTTTTTAACAAACCCAGGCCTAAGCTCCCTCCTATGACCCTATCAAATATTTGAATTATTATTGTTTTTTCCTCCTTCTTCTTCTTCTTTTTATGATATAAGTTTTAAATTTTTTCGAGATAAATAAGTTTGTGAAAGATAAGTAACCTAAATTTTTGTATAGTTTTTGAAGAGAAAAAACACCTAAAAAGCAATGATTCAAAAGTAAGAAAATACTCAGTAGTTGACTCAATAGTCATCGTTCCACTACTGAACATTAAAGTCATGGTTTTAATCTCGTTGTTTTCTTTCTATTTAATCAAACAAAAATAAAATAGAGTAATACTTATCTTCTACCAAACAATAATTTCAATTCAGCGTATAAAGTTTGATGTAGATTTGGATTCATAGATGTGTTGGTTAATAAACTCTCAATTCACATAAATTAAAATTTATAAGTTATTTTTTTGTATGTTTTTTTTAAAATAAACTTGAAATAACTGTAAAAAAATTTTCGTCGAAATAATCCCACCTCAGAGATCAATTTTTTTCAAAATTAGAAAATATTATCCATTATTTTCATCTATCATAACAAGAATCTTGTGTGTTGTATACGATTTTCTTTTTTCTTCTTTAAATTTCTTAAAAGATGAACGAAATATTCAAAAATAACTTAATTTATAACGTTTGAATCATTCAGATTCAACTAAGATTTCAAAAAGTCTCTTCTCGGTATCATACCCTAGTTTTTCTTCAAATGAAAATTTGACACGTGTAAAAATTATTTATTTTATTAAATAAAAGGACATTAAAGGCCCAAAATTATTTGGGGGTGTTTTTGTGGGTACCATAGTGGTATGCCGAATCATTCAAATGTATGATAAGTACAAAGAATTCTATCGTAATGTATGACCCACAACACATTTATATTGGGTATCAATCACTTCCCAAAACCTTTTTAGATTTTGGAACCTCCCCCACCCCCCCTTAAAAAAAAAAACCCAACCCCCTTACCCCAAGCCTCCTATTTGGATTGCTATACAAGTGTATGCCATTATGCTTCCAATGTGCAACAGTTTCCTCACATTTTACGAGATATTGAGGAGAAATCCAACATGCTTATGCCTGGAAAAGCTACTATCCACTATGAAGTACAATATGCATGAGAGATACTCTGTCATCAATACAGTTTACAAAGTATGAACAGAATTTGCTAACAGCACAGTCATTCTAAAGAATGGAACTACCTTGTAGACTTGCCTCCAAATGAGGGGAAAAGATGAAGAAAAAAAAAAACCCAGAATGTGTATGTGTCTGTGTCTGCTATCTTATCTGCGGAACCCCCAGTTCCACGAGTGCCTAGAATTGGGCTCTTCCTATGTCAGCAGAAAATATATAACCAATAACCCGCTTCCCTTCGACTCAAATCTCTCTAACTAATCCGATACTTCAATACGGTCTTGTCTTGCTGCTTAACTCGTGGATGAACTCGTCTTGATGAAATCAATGTTTTTTTTCCTTGCACCAAATGAATAAAATAGTTTGTAGGCTAACTGACTGAAATTTAGATTGAGTTCCAAGAGCGGGTGGCCTCATGCTTTAAAAAGAGAGCATAGAGTAGCTCATTCCATGCATCCGGGACTCCAGGCAGACACCAATGGCTGCAGTCCTGCTTATGAAGAGAAGCAGGACCTACCTTAGGACCCAGATAGTATAGGGATGAATGACCATCTTTTCTTCTTGAAGTCATATGTGTAACATTTAATACATCTAATGATTTAGCATCTGAAATGTTTGTGTGAGCTGATATTACATCCATCAATATGCTATATCGGTTCCAAGTGTGGGAAGGCACCAATGATGCACCCAGCTCTGGTAGCGTCTCCAAGTGACAGTGTCCTCCGCTTCTCCAATCCCCACCTCTGCAAATACCAAGTTACAGTTTAGCTTCTCAAACCAGCACAAGTATCAAGCATTCCACAGAAATACAGGTGCAAAAGCCAATGAGGTTTCCTTTTAATTATGCACATGAGGATCACCAGTGCAGGTTTCCAATGCCACATTACAGTCTAAGAAATGCAGCTATAACTCTACGACATGTAAGTTTTGAAAAAATATGTATAAACAATGGTGTTGTTTAAGACATGGGGCCACTTGGTTGCTCCAACCTTCCACAGATAGCAAGTTCGTTCACTGTCAATGTCCAATGATTGAAGTTCTAGTTATGAGATGTAGAATCAGTACAGGTCCAAATTTTACACCACCACAATCAAAATCATGTGGGGCAGGTGCAAAGATTCCTTAGGTTGATGAAACCTCCCAATCGCATTATTGAGGAATTTTGGCGGACTTGTGGAGTAAAAAGTAAGAACACAAGAGACAAACCTGAGAAATTATGACTAAAACAAGAAACAAACCTGAAGTGTACAGGAGCATATGTTCGAAAGAAAACCTGGGTCTTGCTGTGGTTCACTTGACGATGTATCCAGTCTACTACTGTTTCAATGGACTTCCGGTATGCACTGTCAACTTTCATCTTCATCTTCACCTCTGCTCCTTCTTGGAAGTAACAACCCCTGAACAGTTTGTTGAATCCCGAAGTCAAAAATATACTGGAAACTAGAGACAAGAGGATAGAGAGGTACTATTGCCACCCCATGAACAAGATGAGTTAGTTTATTTATTGTGGATGATTTGCATCATATATCGATTCTTCACTATGCATAAAGTTTGATGTTTCCTCGTGCATTGAACAGCACTATTAGCCCAAAAAAAGGGGTGTCTTAAGTGTTTTCTAGGACAGCATACCACCTCAATTTAAGAGATGAAACTAAAAAATGTCAGCAGGGCAGCTAAAAGGAGGAAAAGGGTCGAGGGCTAAACTTCCGTCACCAACAACCAAAAGAAAAAAAAATTGAGGGATAAATTCAATTTTATTTTCTTTCCAAACAAAACCACAGTATGCTCTCCCACGAGTGGCCAAACTTCGTGAGAGGTACACGACATTTTAGCCCACAACAAAGAATTTTACCAAAAGCAAGCCATCATGTCTACAGGCACAAAAGGATCGATTATCAACATTTTGAACTGTATTTAGGCAATATCACTGCAAGCTTGGAACAAGCAGAATAATTTTATTACTTACTATCCAGGATTTAATGTTTCGTATTTGACCTCCCCTAAGCATGATTTAGAAAACGCCTAAAACTTCTGAAGCAGTTTAGCCTAAAACTTCATATATAAAAGATGAAAGCAAAAAAAGGCAACAGGAAAGAAATGCTAAAATATCGAATTACCCTCTTATGGTCTTCTCGTAGTTCCACCAATGTCCTGTATTGAAAACCAGCACATCTGCATCTCTCCACTTGGAAGAGCTCCAATCCATCTGATCTAATTTCAAGGTAGTTTTTATTTTTGATGGAGTTCCAGGAGGAGGCCGGCTTTGCAATACAAGAAATGGAGCCCTGAAGTACTCCACAGTGCAGTTGTACTCCAAAAATTTGAACACCAGAAACCCTTTGTGCTTTGTGATTGGACTGCCATTCACTTCATAGATAGCATCCTTATTTGAAACAGCAGAAGAGAGCATGCAGAGGATGGACTCCCACTGGTTTCTTCCAATTGAGTCTCCAACAAACACTAGCCTTTTGTTCCTCAGTTTCTCCAGCATCATCTTTGCATCAAATCTGTTTTTGTAATTGGGAAAGGAAGCTACCGAAATTATTTTCTTCTTTTTCTTGTCAAAATGCACATTTTAAGATTGCATATAAAGTTATCAGAAAATTTCAAGACTACAGGTAGGAAGATACCCTGCAAATGAACAGATAAGAGTTTGTTGATTCCCTAAACAAAGTTTCAATCTATTTCATTAAGTTCCCAACCATACTCAAATAGCTGTTCCCCCTTTTTTCATTCTTTTATCCCCCAAATGGCAATATCATAGGTTGAGAATATCGGAGAAAACACACACTCAAACACACACCACATACATATATCATTGTATTGTTTCATTGTTCCATCAGCTTAACTGGACAGCTAGAACATGTAACGGACAGAATAACATTATCCGATCACCACCGTCAATTGAAATCCTCGGATCAACAATTAACAAATAGTGTGGTTGAATGGCAAACAAAATGATGCTGCAATGTTGTCAAGAGAAAATTGGATTTTTTTTTAAAAATGAATTGACCGCATTATCCATAAATTCAGAGGCAAAGACATTGAAAGAAACAAAGAAAGAACCAAACAAAAGAAGAAAAAAAAGGACAAACTACGAAAAGAACTGACAAACTTCACAAATCATATCCTTGAAATCGACTCTCGTGACTCAATTATTTGGATCCAATGCAAGATTTTATCCTGTAGATGAGTAAGTAGCAGTAGCTAGATTAACTCTGAAGAAAAATCACAAGAACTGATCTTTTTTACAGCACAGTGAGTAACTAAATTATGTGAAAATTACACATAATAATTAGGAAAAAGACACAAGACAAAAGCAATCAGAAAGTTGCAAAATAGAAGCAACACAAAAATCCATAAAAATATATCCATCCATTTGGTTATCGATCAAAAACGAGGGAAAAATGAATTCCTTATGAAAATTTCCATACTGAACCAGTGTTACAATTGTGACAGGTTTAGCTGTTCAAATCTAATTTTATGAGCACAATACCAGTTTAAGTTCTGGCTACAAAATTTTCCCAGTAACCAAACACTAATTCCAATAAAGTCAATATGAAATTCAAGTAAAAACCTGGGCAAGTTGCAATCTTTGGGTTGCCAACGCCATTTGGTGTAGAACAAATCAGGCCTTCCATTCTCAGAACACTTAAACCCATCATCCAAAAACCTGCAATCTCTGGACTGATACAAAGGATAACTCTCATCCCACACCCAATCACCTTCAAACACATCACACCCATTGCCCTTCTCACTCAAAAACTCAACCTTTTTAATCTCACGAGAACCATAAAATTTCAACCACAATAACCTCTCTGATTGTGTGGAGAACCGAAGCCCTTTTGTAACAGCTCTGTAATCCAAGTAAACGAAGCCAAAAATTACACAAACGGTAACAAAAAAGAAGCCAATTATGCCCAAAGAGGGCTCAATGAGTCTCAAACGTTTGATTTTCTTGAACAAGTCCATGTAAGTCACTGTCTCAAACTCGGGCTCAGATGGCTTGTTAGACATTTGGACGTGGGATTAGTTTTGGGTATCTGGGTTAGAGAGAGAAACACATATGAACAGGAAATACAACCGATTCAGAGGTGTGGTGTGAAAGCAAGAGAACATTCATGGCCAGTTTGGTATGAATCATGTCTCCTTTTGGTTTCTTTACTTGGTGAATGAGTAATGGGTTATTTTTTCCAGAGTCTGATTAGTTAGAAAGAGATGGGTGTGAACAAAGCAAGGTAGCATTCATGGAAGAACTATATACACAACTTTCCTTTCTGCTTTTGGGGGGAGAGACAGAGAGAGAGAGGGCCAATGGAATGATGACAATGGTGGGTTGGTTACTGGTAAACTAGTATTAGCTTTCAAATATATAAAGAATCTGGAAATGGTGAATCAGTTTTGTAGATCACATACACACGAGACTACACTAATCTTATTCAAATCTGTTTATACAGATTTTTTTTTTTTTTTGTGGAGAAAGTGAACTGTTTTACTACAGAAATCGTGGGCTGGTGAATGGTGGGTCGTGGCCACGCATGGAAGAAGAAAGTTCAGGCAACGGTTAAAAAATGGTGTCCCACGTTTGGCTTTTAAGAGGTTGTTTGGAAACCAGAATAAAGTAATCCGAGGCGAAGGTTATTGTTTATGCCGACAAAGAAGCTCAATTATTATTTTTATCGGATTATTCACCATTAATGAGTGTGGGATAGATTCTATATTTTTCGTCACCCTTAAATCCAGTATTTTTTCGTCATTTAGGCTATTTAATTTGATTTCAAAACTTGGTTTGTGAAGAAAAGCTCAAAAATTAGGTGTGTTTGATAAAATTTAATGTTGAACACTGAAAATTGAATGTTTAATTTTAAAGATTGAATGTTAAATTTTTTAATTTACAGACTATTTTGTACCAACTCAAATTGGAGTATTTAATTTAATCAAAATATTTGATAACTTTAAGAAACTTAAATTTAAAAATTATTATTATTTTAATTTTATCTTTCTTTTTAACTATTTCTTCATAATTACCTTATTCTTACTACTTAGTAGTGGTAATAGGGGTGGTGATGACAATGACAGCGATAGTGGTGATTAGAGGTGACAAATGGGTGGATTGAGTTAGTTATGGATTGAGTTAAATTAGATTGGGCTAAAATAAATCCAATTCATTTTTCACTCATATAGTAAATGGGTTATAATGGGTTAGGTTTATAACGAATTGGGTTAAACTCATTAACCCATAAATCACACACACACACACACAATTACACCAAAATAAATACACACACTACTATATCAAAATACACACACACAAAATATTACATCAAAATACACACATACACTACTACACTAAAATACACACACACTGCTACACCAAAATACATGCATACATGCATATACATACTATTACACCAAAATACACACATATATTATTACACCAAAATACATACACACACTTGAACCAAAATAAACACACACACTACTACACCAAAATACACACACACAATATTATACCAAAATACACACACACTACTATACCAAAATACATGCATACATGCACATACATACTTTTACACAAAAATACACACACACTTACACCAAAATAAACACACTAATCACAAGTTGGGCGGAGCAAATGGAACACATGCTCAGCCAAACATTAGGACAAGTTTAAAAAGAACATTACATGTTATTCATTGTCAAATATTGTGTCAAACTTCACTTCTTTCTTTGACGAACCTTCTGTATATACTATAAGTCCCAAAAGTAAAAATTAAACTAAAAGTTGAGCCAATTTCACAATAATCACAAAAAAACCTTACATATCCATTTTCAGTATCATTATTAGGCTCCACACCAACTTTTCAAGATTCATTCCACATCATTTGAAGAGCCACCAAATCCAGAAATTAATTTCTCAATGTCAATCTCAAGTTCCTCCTCCTCATCTGAATCTTCTTGAACTGCTTAAAACAAGTGTATAACATGAAATTCTAATGTTGTAAATCTCAAAACAATTAATTATAATATTAGCAAGAAATTGCAAAAGTTAAATTTTCTCAATTGCCCATTCTTTTAGAAAAGTAATAACTTTTTCTGCTAAAAGTGGTCCATTATGAGGAGGGCGTATATGACGAAAGATTAATATCCTTTTCTGCAGTACCCAATGTTCATCCACATAGTGAGTAGTAAAAGTCATATAACCGTCTGTGGTGAGAGAAGTCCATAAATCTGAAGTCAAACAAATCCTACTTGGAATTAATTCCAATGCATGTTTAAGTTGTTCTTTCTCCCTTTTATAAGCTTTCAAAATGTCCAACTTTGCGGTGTTTCTTGAGATTGATTTCACATCTAGATTCAAGAAATTATGCAACTCTCTAATTCCTTCATGTTCCACAAACTTAAAGGAGTAATTATGCTTGATTATGACATAAGAAAGCTTCTTTCGATAGGCATCTTGATCAAAAGGTAGTTGTGGCGCCAACTCATTTGTGTCATGTTCAGGACAACAAGTTTTGAGATGTTGTTTCAAATTTGATGTTCCGAACTTTAAGTCTGCCATATACAGTTGGTCACACTTTGTACATCTAGCCTGTTGTCTCCCCTCACTATTAACAGGTAATTTTTCAAAAATATCCCAAACTATTGAGCGAGACTTTCTACCTCGTTTTCTAGTAACGGAACTTTCTTCACCATAATCAACATTATCTTCCCTTGTATTATCTCTTGAAGACATGGCGGCCTCAATATGAATCTACACCCACAAACATGAGAATCTTTAATCGAAAAGGTGAGCACTACTTCAATGAACAAACAAACAAACAAACAATGGAAGAATACCTACTCATTTAATATGAGGAGGAATAAATATATACTGCAAAGCAAATCTCAAAAAATGTCTCTTTCACATCAAACTAACACACAAGGCCTGCATGATGCAGAAAGTGGTAAGAAATCCTTATGCAGCTTGCCTTATTCTAGCCAAGGTCATATGAAAATGCTAGTTGCCGTATTTGTAGCTTTAAAAACTATTGTATTTGGGTATTGTGGATTACAAGTTCAAGAAAAGCTCATGGGTTAAGGCTATTCTGCCTATAGCTAGCTAGCTTCACATATATAAATAGAAAACAATCAGTTGTGATGCCTAAATAGCTTTTGGGCATTTCAGCAAACACGTTGTAAGCATGTCACAACTGGTCAAAAACAAATGATCAAAACAATCAAAAACAACAAATTACATGAACTCAAGAGGGAACTGGAGATCGAGACAAGAAGGAATGAAAAGAATGCAAGAAAAATAACAGAAAAAAGGAAAGTAAAACGTACGAAAAAAGTTAATCGATGATCAAGCCGAAGACGAATGATGAAATCTCCGATGAAATATCTCAACGCTTCAACAGCTTTACATTGGCTACTATAACAGCTATTCCGGCGGAATACCTCCAGAAATCGGAAACTTATCTCAGCTAATCTGATTTGATGCTGCAAATTGTGGACTTATCGGTGAGATTCCACCGGAGATTGGGACGCTTCAAAACCTAGACACCTTTTTTCTAAAAATGAATGCTATGTCCGGGCAGGTGCAACTCGTCTGCGGTTTAATGAAACGACACAGTTTCGTTCTTCGTTTTTGCTTCTTTTTTTTTTTCCCTTATCAAAACGACGTCGTTTTGGTCAGCATCAGACCCTTCCCTTTTCTTTCTCCCGCTTCTTCTTCGTCCAGTCTGGTTCTCCCGCCTTTTTCATAGCTCAAACTTCTCCATCTTCTTCTTTATCGGGTCTGGTTCTCCCAGCTTCTCCTTTTTCTTCGTTGGTTGTGGTTCTCCAGCTCAAACTCTACAGTCCAGCATCTTCTTCTTTAAGTTTTTTGAAGTTTATAGGTAACAACTTAAACTTTAGAGTTTTTTGTTTCTTGTGTGCTGAAGTATTTATTCACCTAACAAACCTCCAAATTAAGATGTCAGCATCAGGTAGAACTAGAAAGTAACTTCCTGTAGTGTAGAGAAATGGGAGGGAGCATGAAATCACATAAGAGGATATATTGCCATGATTGCAGAGGATATATTGCCATGATTGCAGGGGAGCATGAAATCACATAAGAGGATATATTGACATCAGTTAGAAGGTGAATGCTTTGGTCAATCGGTTTTGAGAACAAAAAAAAAATAAAAATTCCCATTATTTGCGCCTTCAACCATTGTGGCTATTTAAAAAAATTTGAGTTTAAACTCTAAGAAAATTGATTCCATGCAAATCCTCGGCTTTTGCATGAGCAAACAGCAGTGAATTTGAAGTATTTGGGCATATGTGGTGTAGGCCACAACACAACTAATTAGTTAAATATATATATTAACATTATTGTCAGTCAGTTTCACCTAGATTAGATAAAGTAAAAGGAAGGTATATTCAACATTCAATTGTGTAATGAAGGTTTTAAAAGGATGGTGTAGCTTTCATATAGTTCAATCTTAGCTAGCCTTAGTAATTATTCCCATCTGACCATATAGCAATTAATGATACAATATAATGTCGATTAAATGGCAATATCATATATTTTTTAAGTAAAGCAAGTAGTTGTAATAAGTACATGAACTCCACTAAAAAAGACTAGTCAAAAAAATTGTCATTTGAAATTATTGTTGCTAGATCTCTGTATAAACTTTTGATGTGAAATTCAACCCCCATATTAATGTGAGTTGTTAAAGTAGTAGTGTTATGTTAAACTATAACTATCCGACCGAAAAAATAAAATAAATAGTTTATTTAGCTAGCTAAACAATGGGAAATCTCTGAAAGTTGATTGATTCAAATTGTGGGAATTTATTTTTTATAAACTTTTCTAATTTCAACGTGAACGATCAATCTTTTATGTCACTTTTTATTGATTTTTCTTGCATTGCTCGAGTTGGGAATCTTTGTCATTGAAATAGAACTGTAATTCTAATCAAAACATTCTTGGAACATTTTCAAGTGCTGCTAGTAGGAAATTGTTTTCAATTAGCGTCATCTAAATTATACAAATTTTGAAAAAAACCATAATTTAAATGATTGAAAACACAGACATGATGACACAACACAACAATGAAAAGAAAAAAGAGTTCCTGCCATTACTTATTCNATTTTGAAAAAAATATAATTTAAATGATTCAAAACACAGACATGATGACACAACACAACAATGAAAAGAAAAAAGAGTTCCTGCCACTACTTATTATGTTTGGAAAGAACTGTTATCTTGGACATGATTTTTTTTTAAGGAATTATGTAACCTTATGTACATGACATCTAGTTCCATGTATGACTGAAAGTTCCCTCTAATGTCATTTCAATGAA